TTTAAAAAACAATGAGATTTCCATTAATTTGTCGACGTCTTGCCTCAACCTATGGGTCTTTAAAATTAATTTTTTTCTTTAAATTTTTTTATTTTTAAAGAGGTCTTACTTCTGAACAATTTATGAAAAATCCTTTAAATGAGCCTGTTTTAAAGTATCTTAAAGGAAGTGAAGAGCGAAAAGCGTTGGAAGCTGAATTGGACATTTTATCCCAAAATGATGTCCAAGTACCGTTGGTAATTGGAGGGAATAAATTATTTAGGAAGGAGAATAGCCGTAAACAAATTATGGTTTTTTTTTGAATTTTTTGACTGAAAAATTTTGTTTTAGCCTTTTAATCATAGCAATACAATCGCTCATTTTAATTATGCTACTGCTGAGGATATTGAAGAAGCAATTAAGTGTGGAATGGGGGCACGTGAAGCTTGGGAACGAAAATCTTTAAAGTTTGTTTAATTTTTGTGTCTAAATGTTTAGGAAGGGAGGATGGTGGCCCCTTTTATGATTTTGGCTTTTCTTTTCATGTATTATATTTTAATTAGAGATCGGTCTGGGTATGGACCAAGGCCTGGGGTTTTCCTGTATCCAGAGTCCAGGCCCAGGCATTTTTTGACCTTCCTGGTTTTCCTGGACTACCTCAGGACCCGGCTCATGTCAATAAATCAAACCTGGGGTCCAGGCTTTTCAAAATTTCCGATCTCTAATTTTAATAAACTCAATTTATTTATTGCTATATTTTATTAAAATTTACAAAACTTAGGGAACGCGCTGACATTTTCTTACACGCCGCTGATTTATGTGCTGGCAAATATCGAATGCGTTTAAATGCTGCGACTATGCTGGGACAAGCAAAGAATATACAACAAGCAGAAATTGGTTAATTTTAAATTTTGGATGTCTTCTGTTATTTTTTAATAATCATTTCAAATTCCTCCTAAATTCACATTTCCGACCCTGACTCCCTTAACCCTAAAACTCACTTGTCCTAAAAATATTTTCTTCTCTCTTTTTTTAGATTCTGCCTGTGAACTCGTCGATTTTCTTCGTTTCAATGCTTACTTTGCTTTTGAAGTAGCTAGTTATCAACCAATTTCTACTAAAATTTATTCGGATAGTTTAATTTATAGAGGATTGGAGGTTTATATTTTCTTTAAAGAATTTAATACAAAATATTTTTCAAGGGTTTTGTGGCTGCAATTGCTCCGTTCAATTTTACGGCAATTGGAGGGAATTTGGCAACAGCTCCGGCTTTAATGGTTTTTTAATTTTTTTCTTGGGGTTATTTTAGTTCATTTTTGGATTTATGTAGCATTGGTAACCTTACAAAGGTAAAAGCCCTTTTTCTGGGACACGCCAACGGCGCGCGACCATAATGGCGCAAAGCCATAACTTGATTTAGGAGTAGGATTGCCTAGTCTCACCAGATTTAGTATCAGACGATTCCTCTCATTGAGCAAGGGAGATTGTTACCATAATTGACAATAGCCAGACAATTTCCCTCAAGGTATGGCTTTGCGCCGTCTGTACGCGCACCCTTTTGGGCTGTACCACCTTTTTCCTTGTCAGAAAAGACAAAAGCTTTTTTTCCTTAGGGTTACCCTCTATATTTTTAAATAAAATTTTTTTTTCAGGGAAATGTTGTTCTATGGAAACCTTCAGACACAGGTTTCCAACTCTTTCAATTTAAAAAATTTATTTTTTTTTTCTAGCTGTTCTTTCCAATTTTATTGCTTTTGAGGCGCTTTTGGAAGCAGGAATCCCTCCTGGTGTAATTTCATTTTTACCTTCCGATGGCCCAACTTTTGGGAATACAATTTGTTCAAATCGTCATTTGGCTGGAATTAATTTTACCGGTTCAATGCCCACTTTTTTGTATTTGTATAATTCTGTGGCTAAAAATATGGGGAAATATGTAACATTTCCACGATTGGTTGGAGGTTTGTTTGGTTTTTGAAAATTCAGATTTTTTTGAAAAAATCTAAAATATCCTGAAAATTTTTAATTGCTTGTTTGTCGAACATGACCGATATCCTTGCTCCTACCAGTCTCGTAGTAGCTTTTAGCGCCAAAAATTTTGCGCTTTTCTCCCTTGCCCCACTGAAAAAATCCTGTCTACCAAGGGCGTATCCAGGGGGGGCTGGGGGGGGGGCTAAAGCCCCCCCGAAATGGGGGAAAGGGGGAAAAAATTAGGAGAAGGATGGTCGAAAAAGTGAAATTTTTTCGCCTACGACCTTCAAATTTAAAAAAATTTTCGCCTGCGGCGCAAAAAATGGAAGAAATTTGGCTTCTTGAGCTCCAAAATCCTCAAAATTTTTGCCTGCGGCGCTAAAAAGTGAACTTTTTTGGCCTACTGCCCTCCAAATTCCAAAAAATTTTTGCCTGCGGCGCTAAAAAAAAAAGAAATCTGGCTTCTTGGGCTCCAAATTCCAAAAAATTTTTGCCTGCGGTGCTAAAAAAGGAAATCTGTCTTAAGGACCCCGAAATTTTTCAAAATTTTTGCCTGCGGCGCTGAATAAGTGAATTTTTTTGCCTACGGCCTTCTAAAATTAAAAAAATTTTCGCCTGCGGCGCAGAAAAGATGAAAATTTATGTACAAAAAAATTTGCGTCCGGAACGCCAAGGTAAACGCCAAAAAATTTTGCGCCCACCCAGTGTTAGCCCCCCCCCCCCTTCCCCCCCGAAATCGGCCCCCTGGATACGCCCTTGCTGTCTACGGGCCTGGCTTTACTCTACTCCTTAATCCAATTCTAGAATAAATTATTCAAATCTAAAAGACAGAACTTATTTTAAATTTAAAATTGCCCTTTCTGAACTATGTTCTGAAGTAAGGCTTTTATGTACTTCATCACTGGGCCACAAATATATTCCTCCTTTGCCACTCCAAGGGAAGAATACTTTTGACTTTCTAGTTTTGTAAATATTTTTTGTCTGCAATTTTTTTTGACAAAAATTTATTAAAAATATTTTTTCTTTTTATTTTTTAGAATGTGGAGGTAAAAATTTCCATTTTGTCCATCCTTCAGCAAATATCAATATTGTTGTTCCTTGTACTCTTCGGGCTGCTTATGAATATCAGGGACAAAAATGTAGTGCTTGGTATTTTATTAAATTTCTTTTAAAAAATAATTTTTTTAATTTCTCAAGTTCTCGCTTCTTTGTTCCCCAAAGTTTATGGCCAAAAATAAAAGAAGGATTAATTAATTTGGCTAGTCAAGTAAAAATGGATGATGTAAGTGGAGTTTTTAAATTTAAAAAAAATTAAATTTAAAGGTTCGGGATGGCTCAGTTTTTATGTCGGCAGTAATTGATGATAAAGCTTTTAAACGTATAAAATCTTATATTGATTTTGCAAAAAATGGGAATGATGGAATGGAAATTATTTTTGGAGGAAAATGTGACGATACTAAAGGATATTTTGTTCAGCCAACAATTATTGAAGTTAAAAATGTTAATTCTAAATTACTTACTGAGGTTTTTTTTAATTTATATTTTTTAGTTATTTTGGGATATTTTATTGTAAGTAGGAGGGGTGGTCCCTAATTTATATTTAAATAAACGAGTTAATTCTCATCAAAAATGGAAGGATTTTTTAAACATTAAAAATTTTTTTTAAAAATTCAGAAAAAATCATTTTAATTATTTGAAAATTTGTTTTCCATAGACGGACAAGAATTTTTCTCTTTTTGTTCATGACAACTTAAACAAAATTTTTCTAGAACTCTTTATTTTAGGAGAAATCCCATAAAATAATTTTATTTAAGTAAATCAAAAAATATTTTTAAGGAAATTTTTGGTCCAGTTTTGGCCGTGTATGTTTACCCTGATGGTGAAGAACTTAAATATTTAAAATCTTTGAAAAATTCGACTCCATATGGATTGACTGGAGCTGTTTTTGGAGAGGATAAGTAATCAAAAATTAATTTAAATTTTAAAAAAATTTGAAATTTTTTAAAGACAATTTCTTGAAATTGCTAAAGATGTTCTTCGAGATGCTGTCGGTTAGTTTAAAAAATTTTTGGGAAATTTTTTTTGAAATTTATTTTTAAGGTAATCTTTATTTGAACGATAAATGTACTGGGGCAGTTGTTGGCCAACAACCGTTTGGAGGGGCTAGACAATCCGGTAAGTGATTTTTGGGGGAAATTTTGCTAAGAAAAATAAAATTAAGGAACAAACGACAAAGCTGGCGGTTTGCATTATTTACTTCGTTGGACATCTCCACAAACAATTAAGGAAACAACTTCGCCTCAAACTGAATGGCGTTATCCAAATATGGATTGAAAAAAATATAAATTTAGGAAATGGAAAGCAATAAAAAGTTTTTAAATAATTTTTGGCTTTAAAAGTCTGTTAAGTAAGAGAGATATTTATTTTTGAAAATATAATTTCTGGTGCTTTTTCTGTCATTTTTGATTATTTTTAGGTTATACTTTAAATTCTATTTATTTTAAAAGAAATATTTTTTATGGTTCAATTCGGTCTTGAACTTCTCGTCATATTTCCCATTCCTCCGTAGGTTTCTTTTTCATCTACCTTTATATCCCTTTTCTTCTTCCTCAACAGTTTGAATTTAATCAAACAATGTTCCCTTCGCACTACTCCTTGAGCGAAGGGAACACTAACTTTTTCCAATCCGTGTCCTTGGACTTTTCGTCATACTTCCCATTCCCCCTATAGCTTTCCTTTTTATCTACCTTCACATCTCCTTCTTCTTCCCTCGCAATTCGAATTTACAAAATGTTCCCTTCGCACTACTGCCTAGAGCGAAAGGAACACTAACTTACTTTCGACAAAACAAATTGAACCATAATTTTTTTAGTCATTCCTTTTATTTAGTATATGAACTTTTAAAAAGTCTCAAAACTTTCTTTTTTCCTTAATTAGCCCCAATGTGCAATTTGTACGTTTTGGTTTGCTTTAATATAAGAAGATAATAAATTTTTGAATGAATTTATTTTTTTATTTTAATTTTTGTTTGTTTTCAAAAATATTATTTTTAATTTTTTTCTCCTCCTTTGTGTTTATTTTAGCTTTCCGACAAATTTTTAAATTTAATCTGTCTTATAATGGAAGAATGGACACCTACTGCAATGTCTTATGAAGGTTTTTAATAAAGGAAATTTTTTGTTTAAATTTTTATTTTTAAAGAAGCAAGTAGTACACTCAAAAAATGGCGGGAAGAGCACGCAAGACGTTCAGAAGATGTTGTGGAAATATGGGAATTTGTATTGAGTCGATATTGTGCTGCTTTGGGTGATGAACTTTGGGTTGTTTTGGAACAGGTTTTAAAAATGTTATTAAAGTTTTAGGGGCTGAGGGAATTTTAAAAAGTTTATATTGGGTGAATAAAATACCCGTTGACTACTAGAAAATTAAGCAACATTGAAAACTTACTTGGAAACCCAATCCAGCGGAAGGTGAATTAGGTCTATCGGTCTTTTCAATAAATGACAAAAATCGTTGACATGTCGATCGAGTCAGAGTTTATTAATTTTTACCTTCAAAAAGCTTGGGTGGTGCAATTTATGAAGATGCTGATATTTTGGGGAATGTAGAACCCAGGGAATGTAGAACTTGGTAAACTGTTAGGATTTTTATGTGATTGACACTCATTTTAAGCGTGGGTAATTAACTTTATTTTTTTATTAAAATACCTATTTAAGGTAGCAATCGCAGCTTTAGACCAAGCCCGTCACGATTTGGCAATTGATTGTATTCAACAATTACACCAACAATTCCCCAAAAGTATGAGAGTTACAAAACTTCAAGCAATGCGTTTAGAAGCTATTGGGAACTATGAAGATGCTGATAAACTTTACGAAAAGCTTATTGAGGCTGATGAAACTAATCAAGTTTTGGATTTTTCAAAATTTTTTTTAAATCCTAAAAATTCTTAAGGTATTTCGAAAACGTCGAATTGCTATTTTGATAGCTAAAGGGGAAAGGCAGGGAGCAATACGCGAATTAAATAAATATTTGGAAAGCTTTGGAACGGATACAGAAGGGTGGCTGCAACTTTCTGAGCTTTTTCTTCAAGAAGGGGATTATACTAGAGCGGCATTTTGTTTTGAGGAATTAATTCTTTCAAATGTTTGTTTTTTAATTTTTTTTAGATTTTTCCTTTTATTTTTTGGGAAAAGGGTTGGGAATAAGGTTGGCGGATCCGAATATCCGGATCCGAAAAAAGGCCGGATATCCGGAAATTTTCGGTTCGGATACCAAGGGCGTATCCAGGGGGGGGGGGGGCTGGGGGGGGCTAGAGCCCCCCCCCCCCGAAATGGGAAAAAGGAAAAAATTTGGGGAAGGGCTGGGGCAAAAAAAGTGAATTTTTTTGGCCTACGGCCTCTGAAATTTAAAAAATTTTCGCCTGCGGCGCTGAAAATCAAATTTTTGGCGCCTGCGGCGCCGAAAAAGTGAATTTTTTGGCCTACGGCCTTCTAAATTTTAAAAATTTTCGCCTGCGGCGCAAAAAATGGAAGAAATCTGGCTTCTTGAGCTCCAAAATCCTCAAAATTTTCGCCTGCGGCGCAAAAAAGTGAATTTTTCTGGCCTACGGCCTTCCAAAATTCAAAAAATTTTCGCCTGCGGCGCTGAAGTGATGAAAATTTCTGTGCAAAAAAATTTGCGTCCGGAACGCCAAAAATTTTTGCGCCCACCCAGTGTTAGCCCCCCCCCGAAACCGACCCCCTGGATACGCCCTTGTCGGATACCGGATCCGGATATTCGAAGATTTCCAACTATCCGCCAATCTTAGTTGGGAAGACAGATCGATTCAAGAGCTGTCTGCGCCAAAATTTTTGCGTTGGCGTTTTTAAATTTGGCGTTTTTTGTACATAAATTTTTATCTTTTCAACTTCGCATGCGAAAATTTAGGGGGGTTTTAGACGAAAAAAATTCCTTTTTTGATCAATTCCTTCCCCAAATTTTGCTTGTTCCCCATTTCGTTGGAGGGAGGGGGGGGGGGAGAATTTTTATTTGGGGGATTCCTTATTTTTGAGGGAAGTGATGGGAAGACAGCTTCGAGTTTTGATCAAATTTTAATTAAAATTTTCAGCCACACAATTCTTGTTATTTACAAAAAATGGCAGAAATACGTTATACACTGGGAGGGCAAGAAAATATTGAATTGGCAAAAAGTTATTTTGAAAAATCGGCTTCAATATCCTCCAGTGCTGCTTCACTTTATGGATTGATTTTGGTACTGATTTAATTTATTTTTAAAAATTTAAATTCTTTTTTATCCTTCTCTCAGTGTTACAACCAACTTTCCCAAAAAGCTTCTGGACAGCGTAAACACGAAATTGTTTTGGCTGGCCAAAATATTTGTGATCGTTTACTGTTATTATACGACAATGAAGAAACAGATCCATCTTCAAATGAGCTTATTGAACGGCAACCAAATTTTGATAAACAAATTGGGGTTATTAAATTTTTAAAAAGTTGTTTTAAAGAATGAAAAGAGGACCTTTTAGAAATTAAATAAAATTATTTTTAGGAAATGGTAAAAAAATTCTTTTTAATGTTTTTTGAATTTCCTTCTTAATTATTTGATATAAACTAAATTAGTGAGTGGACAGTTTGTGTTTGAAAGTTTTAGGCCAGTGAAATTTTTAAGCTAGTGGGAGGCTAAGCTTAATTTTGGGGTGAAAATTCGAAGAGCAAAATAATAGCTTATCCGAAAGAGCTCGATAAACATATTCCTATCTTCGTGGAGGGCATGCCTGACTTCTCCGTAGCAGCAAAAAACTTCACGGAGACCATAGGTAAGGAATTAAAACAAGAGGCCATAACTTGTCCAAAATTGTTAGATTTCGTTGATTTTGGTGTCCTTTGACTTAGTTCGACGAACTCTTTCAATTTTTGGAGACCTATATCTCCTACAGGCATTTCCCCAACTAGAGATTGTTACCGTTCACAATTCAACTCGTCGAGACGAATCGAACTGTATAGGTTTTAAATCGAAATTTTGCCTCCGCTATACATACTAATTTTTAATTTGTTTTACTCGTACTTGTACACAATAACGAACGTCCAAACAATTATGTAATAGTTAAGTTGTTCATTTTGTTTGGGCAAAAACACCAATTCTTATTTTGAAATTTAATATGTATTTATACACGTACATATTAAGACGTGTTGATTGTCGATTTATTGAGCGAAAATTATAGAGAAGGTCCCTCTCCTCCTCTCTAATTTTTGCCTCATTGCCATTTAAAAATAGTTGATTAAAAATTTAATTAAAAATTGTATGCAATTAATAATTTAATTTAAAAATTTTATAAAAAAACTTAAAATACAGTAACGGCAATATGTTTATGCGGTAGAGTGTTACCGTTCGAATTATCACCAAAATACACTCAAAAATTAATCTCTCTTTCTAACTTATTTGAGGTATATTACATTATCCTTTATGGGCTCTTGAATGATATATTTATTCCTTATTTTAAATACCGAAAAAACTGCATTCGATTAAATAAAAATACCCAAAAATTTTGGCGGAAATATGTTTATGCAGTACATTTTATTTCTGCTTTAGGCCAGTTTTTATTTTATCACCGCGAAATTTTTGCGCCTTCAATACATCATGGTATGAGTTAGAAATAATTTCGACATTTTTTATACGGTGCGCCGACAAACAAAAATATCAAACGGAAAGACCCGGTTCTTAAAATGCTCCGGACTTAGTTAAAACATAATTTTAGGGCTTCTCAGTTCAAGGTTACTGCATAAATATTAGTCGATTCTTCCGGATTCCGGATTTGCAACTTATGCCGGACCGGATCCGGCCGGATATTTCCGGATTAATCAGGTCCGGAAAAAATCCGGAAATCGCGAAGAACCACGGATATTGGATTCGGACAAATCCCGCCGGATCCGGTCCGGTCTCACCAATATTTAAATAGGTATATATTAGTGTTATTCACGGTGCCGTATTACGGCGGTATTTTTCGGTAATACCGCCGTATTTTTACCGAAATACCGATACCGAATACGGTACCGAACATTTAAAAAAAAATCGGTATTTTTTCGGTATCGGTATTTTACCGAAAATACCGATACTGAAAAATCGCGTTTGAATAACACTACATAGTATGTATATATTGCCGGCACTGTAAGTAGAATAATTTAATCTTTTATATGTATACTATTTGATTTATGTAATCTAGTTGAAGTTAATTATTTAAATTAATTCATTTTAAGTAATGAGAATATTTTTATTATTTTATTTATTTTTATTTTTTAAAATAAAAATATTGACTAATGGAATGGAGCATCAAAAAAATTGTTTGTTTTTCTATTTCAAATTTTTTATTTTACACTACGGAAAGTTTTGAGTATTTAAAAAAATTCACCTGCGATGCATAAAAAGATGGATAAAAGAGATGGAGCCAATAATTTGAAACCCCTGAAACTGGAGCTAACAAATGTCCAATACCCCCCTGGCCTCATGCTTTCTAAAATTCTCAAAATTTTCACCTTCGGCTATTAATAAAAAATTTTCGCTGCCTGATTTTTGTTATATTTCATTGATGCATTCTAATTGGATAAAATATGAATGGGACCTTCTGTGTGATAGCCAAAACCGGTTTCGGTTAACCGAAAACCGTGGGTCAGTCAGAAATCGAAAACTGGGGGGTAATGGTTAATAACCGGTAGTGAACAACCCTAGTAGATCTTTTTTGGTAAGATTCATTATCCTGATAAATGATGGAAATTTTCCTGACAAATTCCTTAAAGTTTTTAGCAAATAATTTATATTTTAAGGGCAAATAGAGGAAGGATCAAGCTCAAAAGTAAAACAAAAATTACCAAAAGGTTTGCCGCTCTATGTCTTGGATAATGGAATGTGGTCTGTTGCTAAAGAGTATGTAAATCTTATCGGATTAAAAAAGCTTTGAGAGGTTTGTCGGTTGTGGCAAAAACAAACAGAAGAACCGATGATTTTCGTTTGTCCAGCCTGGATATCTTAAGCTTTTCTAAGAGTCGACACCCCGAGTTATGGAATTTTCGCTCCTTTTTTGGAAGAATTTTTAAGTCCGACGAAGTTACAGGACCTGGACATTTGAATATTTTTTGTAAATTATAATTTTGTATTGTTATTTAGACAAGAATACGTCGTTGGAGAAATAGTACTTGCGGGGATGAGGTCTAAAAAACTTCAAGAACATATATGGCAAATGGGAAAAGTAATCGAAGTTTTGGATAATGGAAATTATATCGTTGAAATTGCAAGTATATATAAAACAACACAAAATATTTTAAATTCAAAAAATATTAAAAAGATTTTCCAAATTGGCGAATTTGTTAGTGCAGAAAAAACAGATAGGAATGTAGCAATAGAACTAGCAGAAATAATCGGAATTAAATTTAAAGATTTTGAATTGACAATAAAAAGAAATCCAAAATTTGGGAAAATTGTTTATAGACATAGAAATGAGTTAAGTAAAATTGAAATTGCTTCATTTAAAGTTGGTGAAATTGTGGAAGTTTGGAATTATAAAAAGTTGTGGGTAAAGGGTGTGGTTAGGGGAATTGTTGAGGGAAATGAAATTATTGGAAGGGAAACAGAAAATAATTATTTAGTGGAGGTAGATGGACAATCTAAACTTTTAAAAGTACATCCTGTAGATATCCGAAAATTCTTTCAAGTTGGGGAAGTAGTTAGTGTTAAATTGGACAACCAAAAATCTGTTCAAGCAACTGTAGAAAATGGAATAAATAAACATAATATGTACAGAATGTCCGTGAAGAGTGTTGATGGGGATTATATGTTTATTGAAAGTTATCCTGATGAAATTGAACATATTTTTTAAGAAACTAGGAGAATTTCAACTTCAAAAGTAGAAGTCACAAAAAAATTCTGGCCAACGATTATATTCAAATATAAATTTTCATTTAATTTTATTTAAAATATTTAAAACTAGGATTGTTCACAACTGGTTATAAGATTTTAAAACCTGAATTTTTCAGATTTTTTGCAAAAAATTAAACCGTATGAAATTTTAATAAACCGGAAATTTATAAAAATGAGCTAATTTTTGAAAAATTCCCCAAAATTAAACCGGTATTTGTCCAAAACTCAAAACCGAAAACCGGGTTTTTAAAATTTGGATTAACCTAAAACCTGGTTAATAACAAACTTGCACACGGATACTGATCTTGGTATCCGTATCCGGATATTTACGGCGGATACGGGCGGATACAGACGGATATCCGCAGGCGTTTTGATATTATTTGTATCCATATCCGTATCCGTGTGCAAGTCTGGTTAATAACCGGTAGTGAACAACCATACATATTTAACTTTTTAGTTTATTCTCTCCTCTAATTTATAATTATCATTTTTATTTAATTATTTAACACGAAGCTATCCTATATTCAAAATTTCTAACGTACTACCTGCACCCCATTTTATATAAAAATTACACAATTTAACTGAATTGTTTTAAACAATGTTTTAAATTAATTCTGATTTTTATTAATTTAATTTTCACCTGTAAATTAAGAAGGAATTTAAAAGCAAGATAAATATTATTTAATATAAGTGGTATATTTTAATTAAAAATTCCAACTATAATTATTAAAAGTTGGCATTTAAAAGTTAAACAATCTGCTTCTGATATTTCAAAGAAAAAAATATTTTGTTTGTCTTTTAAAGGGCATTAAATAAATGGCAGGTGAAAATTTTGAAATTAATTAGACGACTTTTTCTTTTGAATATTAAAAAAATTTCAAATGAAACAATTTAAACAAGGGAAATATTTCGCTACACATTTTAATTTTTAAAAGTACAAAATGTCCAATTTAATTGATATTTTATTTAAATTTGATTATTGGGCAAGTATATTACTTGGTTATCCTCTAAACATTATTCTGATTATTTTAATTATTTTTACAACACCAGAAGAAATGAAAGCACACAGTCGAATTCTGATACAAAATTGTGTTTTGGATATTTTATTATTAACATTTCAAATGTTTATTCAAATGGTTTAAATTTTTATAAATCAGAATTAATTTAAAACAAAATCAGAATTAATTTAAAACAAAATCAGAATTAATTTAAAACAAAATCAGAATTAATTTAAAACAAAATCAGAATTAATTTAAAACAAAATCAGAATTAATTTAAAACAAAATCAGAATTAATTTAAAACAAAACATAAATTTATAGAAATATGAAGACAAGTTTTAAGCGTTATTTATATATATTTTCAATTATGATGCCTGGTGTTTTGCTTTATAATCTGATTTTTATTTTCACCGCTCCATATGATGGAGGGATTAAACAATTTGATGAACTAAACAGAACCTTGCCTTATGTTTCTACTAAAGTACAGGTATCGGAATTATATTTTATCGCTGGGTTTTCGGTCCCCGATTATCCCAGCTTTCTCCAAAAATCTGGGTTATCGGTTCCGGTTCAGTTTACCGTTTGTGTCCAAATCTACTTCAAATATAATTTATTTTTAAATGAAAGGATTTTCCACCATTAATTGTAACTTTTATTATGCTGTTTCCATTTGTTATAATTTTTATTTGTGGATTTAAAATGGTTTATTATGTTAATTCACATACTGGATTTAGTCAAAATTTGAAGAGATTGCTTAAACAATTGACAAAAACTTGATAATTTTGGTATAAAAATTAATTTAATTTTATTTAAACTTAAATTTCAGGTAATTATACCATTTATCAATCAATTATTACCTATATTAACTGTGTTAGTTACTTTAAATAAAACAAATGATTCATCCAAAGATAATGATATAAATCCAATTTATATCTTTCTTGCTATTTTCACTCATTTTACACCTGTTTTTAACCCAATTGTTTGTATAATAACTAATAAGCCATACAAAGAAGCTGTTTTTAATCGTTTAAAAATACATCCACAATGATTTGTGTATTTTATATTATTGTAGTAGTTAATTAAAAAATGAATAAAGATGCTTTGGCCCTATTTTATTTTTTTAAACACGCCCTTTATCTGAAATAAAACTGACAGTTCAATAATAAATAGAAAAATTACTTTTAAGAAAGACGGGTGCTATATGTAGAACTTTCAACTATTCCCTTTACTTCTCGATGCTCTCTTCGAACTTAATTTATAAATAATAATTAAATTTAGTTTATTTGTTAACACGTATTTAGAAGAGCCCGATTTTTTAAAAATTTTAGAGGTGTGAATGTAATAGTTAGTTCGATAAAAGAAAAATTTAATTATTAATTAAACTAATTAAACTATAGCTTGTATAACGCAAGTTTCTGAATTTAAACCTAAACTCTTTCCGAATCTTGAAATATTTTTCCTTTGCTTAAAATTAATTCAATAAAACATTTAAAAAACTAACAATTTCCTTCATGTCGCCTTCCATCCATTAATAAAGTATGATCTATTACAAAAACCAAAAGAAAAAGTAATAGAAATACCTTCATTTTTTAATACTAGGAAAATGTATGCAATCCCTCGGTTTTTAAAATTTTGTTATTTAAAAAATAGCAATGAATGGTAATTATAAGAAGACTGTCTTAAATGATGACAGCATTGCAATTTATAAAATAAAATTTTAATTAAAAATAAAGACTCGACTTTGGGACAGGCGTCCCATGAGCTTAAAGGATCCCATCAAAGATATATACATATATGTAGGTATTACCTACACTAACATATAAGAGTAGGTTGTCCAAGAAAGGGAAATCGTCACCAGCCTATTAAGATAAGTTAGCCAAAATGGAAAATAGTCGACAGCTCATATGAATGTGGGTAAGTGGAAAGAGTGGATCATCGCCCACTCATATTAAGGTTGTTAAGCCAAAGGATTAATTCTTAGGCATCTCATACATATGTATGAAGGTAGTTAAGCCAAAAAGATCGAAGAAGAGGTTATGTCAACAGCATATAAAGGTAGTGAATCAAAGAAGATATACGACATAAATGAAAGATTTGCCCTTACATTTTTGCCCTCATCTCTAAAATATAAATTTTAAATATTGCTATGGTTTATTGGGATTTCTTAGTCGTTAAACAAAATATGTAAATTAAAATAATTTTTGATTTAATATCCTCAAAAATTTACAAAACCTTCAAGTTTATCTTAGTATCTACTTCCAAGTCAAGTTTCAATGTTATTTTCATTTGAATTCGGCGATTTTGAAAAATATTCTTGATTTTAGAAAAAAAAATTTTTGTGAAAAAACTTTGTAACGAGCAAATTTTAGTTATCCAAACAGTCCGACATTTTAGGTTTTGACATATTTTTTGCAAACTTGTGATGTTGAATAAAGCTCAAAAAATATCGTGTTTTTATATAGGACTAATGATAAAATGTGAACTAAAATTTATTTTTGTAGATAAATTAACCAATTTATCAATCAAACTTTAAAACATTAGAAATGAATTTATTCATTATCTTTTTATTGTCATTTTGTTTAATAGACAAATTACAAATGTCTAATGGAATGCAACATTTGATGGGTTAGATTTTTTGAAATTTAGAGTTTTGGTTTTAAAAACATTAAAATATGACCTAAATTGATGGCAAAAAATTCAAAATCGTCTTCAATGAGTAACAATAATATTATACCATTTCAGGAGTAAGGTTATATCCTAGAAATCCTATCAATCCTAATTAATAGTTTAGGATTTTTATACAGTAAAAAGTTAAAAATACGCGCCTATATAGGCACTAAAAAACTGCCAAAATATGCACCAAAATCCGAAAAAATGCAAAATAGGCAATGAAAATTTCAATATTTTATACCTTAAATAAATTTTAAACATTTACACTGGTTTTCCATTGATTTTCAGGTTTTCGGATCTCTATGAAGGAGATATACTAGAACTTCGTTTCCTTTGTAATTTATATTCATGTTAATAAATAAGTTTATATGAATTTTTGTAGATTTTTTTAACAACCCTAATGTCAAAACTTGGGGGTGGTCTTAAAGTTTCTTGGCTTTGTATTTAAATTCGATTAAGTTTGTTCGTTAGCTACTCTAAGTTAGATGACCTTGGATTTGTTTAGTGTTTTAAATTGATAGAATATATTATTAAGGCCGTACTAAAGGAAAGCAACAAATTGAAGGCCCATCACGAGGAAAAGGAAAAGAGACTGTTCAAGCACCTGCATTTCCTGAATTGAATTTTTCTTTGATTGAATTGACCATTTTGGTACAAATATTGCGTAATATTGAGTTTACAACAATTATAAGTAATCCAGAAGTAGATTTACATATAATAATTAATCATTACAAGGATAAATATATTTCTGGATTTTATGATGAAAATTTAATTAATTCTCAAGTTGTCCACGAAACATTTCGTAAATTAAATCAGGTAATTTTGAAAATAAGTGGGAGTTTTAGCTATGACCTATCATTTTATTCCATTTTCTGAAAAAAATATTGACAAACTTTAAAATAGTTTATCTAGCATTATTATATACTAATCGTTTTATACAGAAAGGAAGTGGGTAATAGTGTCGTTTCCCAGCCCCCTTTTTTTCCTCCCAATTTTCTACCCTATGTTTGTACGGAATGGTCAAATTTTCCCCTTTCTTTCATCAAATTTGCCTTTCCATATTTTGCCTAAAATATATGGAAAGGCAAATGCTCTACAATTTCTGGTTGTACACCGCCAACATCCATATCTTTCGTCTTTCTTAACACTTATTGTTGTTCGACCCCCACATTTGTAGCAAGTTCTCTTTCCATGAAGAAGTCCAAGCTTCTCAAGCCATGCATCGAAATCATTATCACTCAAACGTAATTTTTCATATAAATCAATAGGTTTGAAATTCTTTAGTTCTTC